CTGCTCCTATTGGGAAAGCTGTAGGCTTTTTTTTCTTTCTTTCTTTTTAGTCCTTTTGTTGCCAGAAATCTTTGAATTGAATCAGTGTGCAGTCAGCATACTGGAGGCAAGAACAGCTAAATGTTCAGTTTTGTGAGGATGCTACTAAAACCGTCAACAAGTTTTATGTCTGTTAATGTTCATTTTATGCTTTTAAGTCTCTTAAGTTGCTATGTTTTTTTTTTCTCCTGGTAAGGTTTTCAGTAGCCCCCTCTTCCTGTTATTTTAAACACTTTTTTTTTGTTTCCTATTGGGACAGGAGGGCTGTAGAAAAGAGGGAGGAGAAATGCTCCAGGTAAAACATCACTATTTAGGGCAAGATTCTATGGAGGGCATCAGGGAGACAAGAGGTTGGAATTTTTCTTTTCTTTTTTTTTATTTAAGTGCAGACAGCTCCAATTTACCCTCCAGTGTTCTGTCGACTGAGACAATCACCACACATTGATGTCTCAGGTTTGGAGGACATATGGTAATGAGTTCAGACTGACTGACTGATGTGACTTAAACTGTTGGGTATTTGGGAGGGGGTGGCTGCAGTACAACGTGGACAGGGGGACAGGTTTATAAAAGACTTTGCCAGCAGCCATAGTAAGAACAGACCAGGACGTTGGTCCCGGGAGCACATCTGAGACTCGGTCTGTCATTGAGGTAATTACGTCCATGGTTACGGTATCTGTAGGAAAGGCTGATCTCAGACCTGTGGCTCTAATGATACTCTCATGTTGCTAAAATGTCCTTGACGGCCCCCACGTTCTGCATACCCACAGACACTTCTGGGAAATGATCATTGAGAAAGAACACTTTTTATACATTTATATTAAAACTAAATCTTTTGAATCATTTAAGTGTGTACACACCAGCGAAAGTGACACGAGTATCAAATTTGAACACGAGTCACACTTAAGTCGCAAAAGCAAGAATGTACACTTATTGTCTATATTCAAAACATGCTCTACATATATGTAAAAAAAAAAACCTTGAATCTGTAAGTAGACTTGCCTTCAGAGACTCTAGACTCGACTCATGCTCCTCATCTAAAGATTTAAGTCTTGATTTTGAGGTACCTAATAAAGACTTAAACTTCACTCAGACTCAGCCTCTACAAACTTAAGACTTGATGTACAGGAGGTTTGTAAAAGGTAAAATGACCTGTACTTGGAAAAGCGCTTCACACTACTTTCACCCATTCACCCATTTGCACACATATTCGCAAACTGATGGTGGCAAGCTACTTGCTACGAGCCACAATTGCCCTGCGGCACACTGACAGAGGCAAGGCTGCCATGCACCCGTGGCATCAGCCCTTCTGACCACTACCAGCAGGCAAGGCGGGTGAAGTGTCTTGTCAAAGGACACAACGACGGAGACTGACAGAGCAGGTGGTCAGAATGGTAACCCACCTCTGTCACAAGACAATCTCCTATGCCACGGTTATTAATAATTTTCCAGTTTAGTTATAAACTATCCAAGCCCTGAAATGGGCTTTTGATGTAAGTTAAATCAAAAGATGTTAACTTAAAGATGGTTCTTCGAAAAACAACTTGCAAATGACAAACGGCATATTGAAGGTGTTTGCTCCAAATGTTTAGCATATTTAAAAGTACCTTGCACTATTCTCACTCCATCTTCCTTTGCAAACGTACCTAGCTAGCTGGCTTCCCCTAACCCTCTGAGACCTGACAGAACTTTGTTTGACCCCTCGTTTTTACATATGTCATATACAATTTGCCACACGCAGGCCTAGCTGACGGTTGCAGCTAGAAAAGACAGAAATCTCAGTCGAAGTCCCGTCCACTCTCAAGTCAAGGGCATGCTTTGAACTGAAACAGGTTCATTTTTTACCTCGCCATCATCCTTTTTTCAATTTATTCCCTGCCACACTCTACATCATTTATAGTCTCATGCTCATGCTAATGATGCTGATTTCACAGGGTGTCAAAGCTCTAGAGAATTACATCTCCGCAGTGATGGGTTGCTTACCGGCTGGGTCAAATTCACTGTATATTTATCTGCACAGGTGTTTGCTATTGTTTCACTAATGCATCAGAGACAGGGAGATGTCTGAATATAGAGTAGAAGAAAGTGAGAAAGGCACTCCTGACATCATGAATCTTTGCCAGGATTGAAACTGAAATGGCAGAAAGTGAGTGGCCATGCTTAAAGAATCCCTGTATTCTAGTCTAAGACCACACACTGTGCCTGTATCAGCCCACCTTGCACCGCTGTGATTGATTCTCTGCCCAGAGGCTGTAATCCCTGAACCCTACACCTTTACTGGACCGCGTCCCCTCTCTCACACTTTTTCTGCTCCCCCAGTGTTTCACAGCCACCTGGGCAGCATCATCAGTTATGACAACGTAAGAGAATAAATCAACAAACTGCCGCCGCTGCCTTGTATCCAATGGATGTCTGCGACAGCTCTCAATTAAACTCCTCAAGATATTTTTTTCCCCCCCGTCTCTTGCTTTCTCCTTGCACTCTCTTGTTTTAATCTCCAATGGCAGACATTGGAATCCTGCTGTCAGCATAACGGAAGAATATTAGCACGGCTGGCCCCACCTGGACCCGCCGCTCCTCAACCTGTCCCCTCCCTGTAATTATCCCTTAGCCCTTTTTCCCATTAACCTACTCCCTTTGATCCCCACACATGCTGATATTATGCAAAACTGCTGAATAGAGAGACAGAGAACGTGCAAAACACCAAGCCGTTACCCATGGTTTCTGATTTCCTTACTTATTCTCGTCTTCTTTTGCTCTCTATCTCTTCCTAATTATCTGCCTCTTTGTCATGGATTAAATTAATTTCAAAGGAGCCTGTCAAGATAGAATGGGGATGAAGAAGAGAGGGATAGAGTGGGGTGTGGGGGGGAAAGGAGAAAATAAAAGTATTGGACAATTTTTACATGCCATCAAAGATGAATGAATCTCAAAAAGCAGCCTGCTAAATCACTATTTCCCTTTTTTCTCCTCGTGGATGTATCAAGTAAAAGCTCTTCATTAGTTCTGGGGCCTAAAAGCAAATACCGGGGTCTGTACAATGCTGAAGGTCTACAACTGACCTTTCTTTGGTTTTAATCATTGCAACTCTTGACAACTTAATAAGTTGAAGGTGCTGGGTTGCAGCCTAACGTAATAAGGCCCACACCAAAGCCTTGGCCACCTATGATTGCTCCCATAAGTCTTAGCACATCTGGCCCCGTGTCCTTGGGTGAGAGATATTTTCTACAACTTTCCAGCGTCACAGCCCTTCATTAGAAATATGAATGATACAGTGCAGAGTCTCCTTGTGCAAAAACAGCTAAATGATTCTATTGCTCTACTACTGCCACTTCAATCTTTCCAGTACAGAGTGACCGCATTACTGCTCCTCTGCTTAACATCTTGTGGGGCTTAACAAATTAATACACTTTTTATTGGGGGGTCTACTTTGTAAATCACAGTAACACATTTATTCCCTTCCAGATAAAGTGTACAGTTGGCTGGTAAATATGTCATAGATCCACGATGGTTTATTGCTTCTATGGATGGATTCTGAACCTTTGTTGATGCGACATAAGATGCATAATTCTGTTTGCAGTACAGTTACCGTACGTTTTTATGAAGACAGTTTTTCTTTTTTTCACCCACCACTTTTTCAGCTTTCCCTGTCCACAGAGAAAGAAATTAATCCACAGCTATGTGAGGACTCTTATAGTTGCCTTAAGATGAGTGGGTAATCCCTGATCATTTGCATTCTTAAAGAAATGTATTGGCTTTTACCTCAGAGTTAACATTTATTTAGCTGACATAATAGCTTGTGCTGAAATGAACCTTGAAAGTAAAAATATAGAAATATATCCATCTCATATATATGGGAAGTGTGTAGAGGTGTTTTCTTGTGCATCCCATTAAAGTATGCAAACATGTCTTCTATCATTTAAAATAATACAAAGCGATACAGTTAAAGATTTAGTTTGAACTTTACGTGAACCTGCTTGTCTTAACGTGTCATCTCAACCTAAACCCCGCTGCCACTTTATTAGGTTGTCCTGTTCAGTTGCTTGTTCTTGAAAATAGTGATTGAGCCATGTTAGCAACTCTGGGTTTAGACGTGGAAACCTGGTGACAATGGTTGATGAAGTTTGAAGTATGGAGGAGGAACTGCACTCTGGGATTTTTTTCTTTTGTCTGAAACAGATAATGTATCCATTGAGTTGCAAAATGAAAATGGCCTTGTTGATGTTGGAGGTCAGAGAAGACTGGTTCAAGATGGTACAAAGACAGCCATGGTACGCACATTATCATCTTTAAATGCATAGCACACTTTAAACATCAAAGCAGATAGGCTACAGCAGTAGAATGCCACACAAGGTGTCACTCCTCTGCAAAGAATAGAAAATTAACATTTCCATGTGCTCACTACAAATTAAAGAATAATGTAGCATTGTCTGATGAGTCTTGGTTTTGGCTGCCAACTTCAGATGGTAGGGTCAAAATTTGATGTAAACAACACAAAAGCACATGTCCGTCCTGCTTTGGATACACTTGGCATCCTTTGCATCCCTCAGTACCAACTGTGCATTGTTTAAATGTCACTCCGTTTGGGAATTGTTGCTGTCCAATGTCCGTCTCTCTTATGGCCACTGTGTGCTCAGCTTCTGAGCTTCTGCTACTTTCAGCAAAAGTAATGCATGGTAAAGCTCAGGTTATTTCAAACTCGTTTTCTTGAACATGACGATGAGTTCATTGTACTCTAGAGACTTCATATTCCACGTCTCAGCTCAGCAGAGCAATGTCAGGATGTGCTGCGAAAAGATATTTACATCATGGGTGTGTTGTAAATATCTTTTACAACACACCCATATTTACATCATGGGTGTGTTGCTGAAAAATTTGAAAGCACTGCACGATGGTAACATGTCAACAACTGGGATTAGTGAGGTGCACCTTATTAAGTGATTTTTTTTTTTATTTTTCTGCAGAGCACTTTCTTACTTTCCTGCTGGACACCAGCAATTCAACACACCAAAGAGTTCACTTAAAAAGCTACAGAATGGGGTAAGCTACTATCATTATCATTACTATCAAAACCTTTTAACATCTCGTTAAAAGGTTTTGCAGTTTCTTTTACTGGACTGTGACACATGCAGCCATCACAGGCTCCATCCGGCCTCCCACGCTTTGCTCTGAACAGATGCTTGTCCACCAAGTTTACTTTACATCTTTATTGGTTTTCCCACTCAAAGGACCGGCTTGTTTCCCTGTTGGAAGCAGAAGGCAAGCTGGAAGTTTCAGGTTTTTCAAGGGAGGCACCTAAGTCTCTCTGTTGTATGGCTAAGTTTTGATCTCCTGCTCTCTGTTCGCAGAAAGGCTGATGAAGCAGTTTGATCCCCCCCCGAGTTTTCTGTCGGAGATATTTTAATGACCCGGCTTTTGTTTGGGGGTCAACTCGCCTCCTTGTGAGCGCTGTGGAATCTATAGCAAGCCCGCTGTTGATTAGGTCTCCTTAAAGGTGATGATAAAAGCCATTGTGGGAGATGCACTTCATTGAAAAGGGTGATGTGGAAAGGGGGAAAAGATGAAGAGGTGGTATGGAGACACCAAGAACGTATTAAAGCCAAGCCCTTGCTCTTTTAAATCCACCCGTAATAGGGACATTAGAAATTTAAATGTAAATTGCCTATTAGATTTCTATGCAAGGTATCTCTGTTCCCCTTTGTGAATGCAGCAAGAAAATGTCTGTTCTCTTTGCGCAGGCATAAAAATAACTCAGTTAAGTGCAATGGATCTGGTTGATTAATTTTGAGTTGTTTATAGGCAGATGGAGCATAAAAATTATTTATAATTAATTAATCACATTTTAATTGGAAACTATATATCGACAAAATAAGCAACATTTTCAATTCAAAAGCCCGTTTTGCTACAAAATGATTTAATAAAAAGATCTGTGAGCTCAATAATAAATGTATTTATTATTCTTAATCTGTTATTTAGGTTATTCTACCGTCAGATTGAAGCAAAGTGCTTTTATACCATTCAGCTTTCAAGTGTTTCAGGAACCTCTCATCATTCATGGATTCTTTGAAAAAAGTACTTGTTTGGAAATGTGG